TATAATGTCCTGGAATTATGAAACAAGATTTTTGTGTGTAATTAATGATTAGTTGATAATGAGGATATGTATGTGAAAGACTTATCGGGTATTATGGAAAAGGATTTACGGACCCGATACATTGGACAAACCCTGTCGTGGACATTATCTTAGTTGAACGGGGTTGAGAAGTCCCATATTGAAAGAGGTTGGGAAGTATTTGTTCACCCTCATACCAAATGGGGTATTGAGACGGTGGTACGTTTGGCACCCATTATCGGACGGGGTATGGGGACGACCGATTATTTAGTAGATTGGATATTGGGTCCATGTGTAGGGAAAACCCCTATGGACCCTCAAAGATATCGGTAAGTAAGTGAAAAGGTATGGTTTGATTTTTGTTATCTCTTAAAATTTTTAGTGAATTGTTATCTTGATTATTGCCCTCACAAGTTGTATTTTAGAACCTAAAAGGTGAGTATGAACTATATTTTAAAAAAATAAATGAGTTTACCAAAAAAGAAAAAATGGTTTCGTTGGTTATTTTGTGATTTTTACTAACATTTAATTTTCTGTATCGGTTGTTAAATGTTGATATTCTTACCGGGGTAGTGTAGCTCATTTCTCTTATTTAACCATTTCAGATCAGGACGTCCAATATTCGGATCCTGAATAGCAAGAAAGGTAGCCAATAAAGGTTATTTCCCATCTCCCATCAGAGTTGCAATGCAGAGGTCGACCTTATAGTTTTTCAATAATATCCTTTAAGGGGGCATTCATGTAGCCCTATTGGGCATTCCGATTTAACTGTGAAAGAAATGTAAACTCTAGACTCTAAACTGTTTTCGCTAATTAATAAATTTCAACATTATTTTATTCTCCTATTTTTGGGCTTTTACACTTCTACCCCTGGATTATCTTTTTTTTTCCTCAAAAACCCATTTGTAGCCTACCACCTTTTATCCCTCTAGCAATGGCATAAGCTCCTTAGTTTGATTATTTTGAAGTGACTCAATTTCTTTACCCATAACACTAACCTATTGATATACATCTAAATTAGAAATAACTTCCTTATAACTATCAAGTTCCTATAAGTCAACTGTCTCTACAACTAACAAGACTTACGCAACTAGATTTCTATACCTCTAGGATGGTCTAATTTATCTTCTTTTTCTATCTGTTGCACTGCTATATGATTGTTGTTAATTAAATATACCATCACACCTTATTGATGAAGATCTCTCACCTCATTCTCTATATTATTGGACTGAACTGCTAGAGTATCAATATCTAACTCTACTAGTTCTCTGATACTGTGATCTTATTATGTTATTGCTTTTTTTTACAGCATAATGAAATAAATTCATTAAAGGTCATATATCTGTTGATAATTAATTATGAAGACTTTGGATTATTGCACTATAACCTATAATCTTTCACTCCATATGTATACACTAGGAATATCTATTTTTTTGACTTTGGCCAAGCTTACCATTTATCACATGAGAATAAGTCGGACAACAAAATACTCTCAACTAAAAATAATCAGTAAGTGATGCAAACTATACCGCAAAATGAGTTTGCATTCAGTAGTTATAAATGAAGATCTATTAACTAAAAATAAGCAGTATTAACAGTCTCATCCTAAAATTCCTGTCCCAAACTTGAATGTGACAGCATGTTTCGTATCATATCACAAAGTATTTTATTCATGCATTCTACGGTACCACTTTGTGATGTTTCTATACAAGTGTAGTGTCTCACTATATTTTCTTTACTTCAGTAAATGTATGATTGCAAAATTCTAACTTATTATCAGTTCTAAGACACTCGACATTTCTTTCTGTCTATTTCTCAATCATGATCTAATAATTGACAAATGTTGAAAATACCTCATTTTTTGATTTTATAATATACACCCAAACCATTCGAAAGTAATCATAAATCAAAGTCATGAAGTATCTAACACCACTTTTAGAGGGAATCTGTTTGAACCTCATAAATCAGAATAGATATAATCCAACTTATCTTCGGTCTTATGCATTGTCTTTTTATTGAACTTCGTTCTGGTATGTTTGCCAAACACACAGTATTTGTAAAAATTTGTAGCTTTCTTTTTATACCTGTTTAACAAATTCTATTTGCTCAAAATATATAACTCTTTGTCACTCAAATGACCCAAATATAGATGCTACAACTTAGTATGATTCTGATCACTACTCTCTAATGTTATAATAATTTTCCCTAAAACTATAATATCTTAAAGAATATATAGTGTAGACTTCAAATTGTCTTTCATGAATACTATTGAGCATTTGCAAGCTTTGAGAATACCATTTTCTGCATGTTATTTGTAACTATAAAAATCAAGTATAGAAAGAGAAATCAAGTTCCTCTTATTTGTAGAACGTGTCAGCATTCAATAGCTCAAACAACTCTATTAAACATTCTCAATATGATATTACCAAACCCACCTACAAATAACGAATTATTATTACTCATACACATGGTACCATTCATCTGTTTATAAATAAGAAACCAATGCTTGTGTGGATATGTATAGAATGTAATACTAGAATCAAGGACCCAAAATTTTTTTTCCATCATTCGAACTTATAGATAAAACTTCCTTAATAGAACTTATCACTATTATCAGAATTATCAATATCAATAATTTTTTATATAATTCTTTTGCTTTTTTTCTTTTTTATCTCTCAATTTAGAACAATCTCTCTTAAAATGACCATGGTCCCTAAGTTCAAGCAGCTTGCTTTCTCAACTCTATATTTTGATATGGCCTTTGAATTCTTCTTCTGAGAAGAATTATTCATTGTTTGTGTTTTTCCCCTACTCATCAAATTCTCCTATATTTTTCCATTTTTTGGAAAGTTCTTTTTTTTTTTAGCTCTTTTAGTTTTGTTGCTTACTAACATCATATAATGAAATACTATCATTCCCATAGAGTTAAGTATCAACAAAAGCTTCATAAGAGTATGACAACGAATATAATACAGTCATTTCTTCGAGAACTAGCCCTTATACTAAAAGATGGAAGTTATTGTAGAAATTAAAATTCAAGAAAGTCACAAGCTTATATGGTGGAGATCCCTACAAAGAAGTCTATCATGTTCGTCTATCAAATCCATGCAAGATATTAGATTATGTTTCTTAAATAGATGTGACAAAGATATGTACGAATATGTGCTTCTTAAATGTTACTTAAAATGATGTCTGGGGCACTATTGAAAAGTAGTTTAACTACTTAATTAATCATCACCTCTATAAATTTTGGTGCCTTTTGGAACCAACTTTTTCTCTTTGCTTCCAATATAATTAATATGGTTTGTTATTAGAGAAATAAAGCTATTCATGATGATAATAAAATCAGTCTCATTGCATGCATTGCTAAGATTAAAGGTAGTTTTCATAGGGTAGATAACATCCTCATTCCCACAAAGCAAAAGTGGTCCAACATGATTCAAGTATATGGGTATAAATGGAAGATTACCTGTGATTAGTTGCCAAGGATGAAGATGTTTTTCCTACAATTGTTTTATTCGGCCTTGTCAGTTCCCTGATCATGCTTGGGTTAAAAAGGTCGCTTTTCCTAGCCCTCTTCATGAGGAAGTTAAAGCCCTCCTCAAAGCTACCAAAGTGCTAGAAATTTAGGGTTTTCTAGAGGACTCATCTACAACGGCTCATTGCTTGCTATTTATCCCTTAAAACAATTTTAACCTAATTCTTAATTAGAGTATTCGGCCTATTATCAAGTAAATTGGGTATCTGTCGACTGAGCTTCAATGTGTATGGAACTAGGTTCCAAGAGAAACTGATATGCATGCCCAAAATGGATTGCTAAGTATAATTTTGAAGAGTCATTTTATCTAGAATTTCTAGGTGCTATGAACTTTTTTTATCTTGATATGTAATTGTTTGCATTGTGTTCTTCTCTTTATTATATGGCTTACGAATTTGTCCAAAAAAAATCAAACAAAGAAACAAAAAAGCATTGACTATGAACCTGGAAAAAAAAAAAAAAAAGTCTCTTCAAGTTAAATGCTTAATTAATGTGATTTAAAAAATAAAAATTTAAAGGAAAAATATAGATAATATAAATTAAAACATATGAAAAAAATATTTTTACCCTTAAATTTAATATTTTAATTTTCTTAATACAAAGTAATATATATATATATATATATATGATAGATAAGAGTTGAATATCAAACTTCCTATTTGAGGAAGTGAAGAGGTACCACTGGATCTAAAAATTAAGTGTCAATTCAATATTTAGTTAAATGTAAAAATTGTTAATTGATGACATGATTAATAATGTTATAACATCAACAATTACTTAATTTTTGAAATTTGAATTTATTTTTTTTATTAATAAAAAATTATTTTTCAAGTACAATATAAAATATGGGGCACTCTTAAAATGACGTTTGACTGAAATCATTTTGTTATTTATAAAAAAGAAATGGTTTAAAATATATATTTTCGAGTAACCCACGCCTCTTTGAAAAGAGGGAAAAAATAATAATGGTTAGAAGGAAACTATAAAATAAAACAAAGCTGTTGGTTAACCGTAAAGAACCCACCAAAATGCTAACACTATCACCACCTGCCTCCTTCTCTACTACCACCGTCACCCCCACATCTCCTCCCAACTCCAATCATTCTTCTTCCTTCCACCCAATCAGACGCCGCCACCTCATCACCCTTCTCCCCTTCTGCCTCACCCCACTTTCTCCATCACCCGCCAATGCCCGCGGCCTCTTCCAGATGCCGCCCTCTCGCCTCACCAACCGGTAATTCTATTAAACCCCACTTCCGTCTTCCCTATCTACTTTTTTCTATCTGTTTCCAAAATTTTCCACACAGAAAACAAGGGTTTTCCCTGATGTAATGCGTTGCTTACTTGAAGAGGTATGAGGGTCTTACATTTTTTTTTTTTTTTGCTTTGGTTTTTCTGTTTTCTGGGGTTTTGTAAAGGTACTATTTGGTGAGGGCAGGGGAATCTGAATACGAGAGATTGGGTATAATCAACACGAATCCAGTTGCCAAAACCTCGGTTGATAGTGGGTTGTCGGAGAAGGGGAAGAAGCAGACTGTAAACGCTGCTTTTGACTTGAAGGCAATGGGGGCCTGCGATAGGAACTGTTGGATTTGGCCTTCTATCACTCAAAGAGCTTATCAGGCTGCCGAGATTATTGCTGCCGTCAATGGAGTTAGTCGTAGGTATGCAAATCACGTTCTTCTTTCCTTTTTTTGGGAAGAATTATTCATGAATTGATGTAGGTTTTTGGAGTACTGAACATGGAACCATGGATAAACATCAGGCTTGTCAGTACAAAATAGGAACATTGTTGAGATTATCAATTTAGGGAAAACAGAAAATTATGAAACAAAAGATGTGCGAACTCAACCTTCTATGCTTCCTCTGAATTTCTTTGCACCAAGTGAATTTGTGGATATCATTTGTGATTTTCTTTAAAAAAAAGTGAAGATGTGGATATTATCTAATTCCTTTGTTTCTTATACCATTATGGTCACATTGGTTTAATTTCTGTTATTCTTTTTTCTTTTGTTTCAGTTAATTACTGGACTTATATGTCAATTTTATGCATGTATTAGTGATCCAATGGTGAAAGGATGGAATTTTTGCAAGTTTTGGAAGGCCATTGTAGTATGAAGGAGTTGTGGGTATCTTTTGGTATAATATGATTTAGCTTTTGCCTGTTGGTCAAACCCTTATGCTATGCTGGTTGCAGTTATATAGTTCCTGAATATAGCTTCCTTGATGCTAGAGGACTGGGGGCTTATGAAGGCAAGAAACTGGAAACCATTTCAGAAGTAATATTCTCTCTTTTTATTTTTAAATTCTGGCATTATATATGTAGGTTGTTACATTCAGATTTTGTTCAAGTCCAAGTACTCTACATATATTGGAATCAGAAAAATCATATACCGCCAGTAGGTGGAGCTAGGGACTAGAGTGTATTTCTGTATATATCATTAGTAGTTAATAATTACACCAAGCATTGGACCTATGATCAAATATCCAAGTAAAATTCCATATGTTGCTTTTCTAAGCTATAGCTATACTGTCAAAATGAAACCTCTCTTAACATGTGTTGATCCATCTTCATTTTCAAGCATCTATAGTTGCTAGTTTCAAATGGTTCAGGTATATGCATCGGACAGTCTCTCTCCGACAATTAAGCCTCCTCCCATAGATGACGGTACCCCAAATGAAAGCGTTTCTGATGTGTTTGTTCGAGTGACACAGCTCATGTCAATTCTTGAGACTCAGTACTCTGAGGACACCGTGATAATTGTCTCACCTGATTCTGACAATTTGACAATCCTGCAAGCTGGTCTCCTTGGACTCGACCTCCGAAGGTATATTCCCAATCTTAAGTTCCTGACATATACTCATCAAGGACTTTTGGACATGGCTTTAGACAAACACCTCAAATAATAATTGTGTATGACTCTTGTTCATCTGTTATTTCAGGCATAGTGATCTTTCATTTGCCCCTGGAGAAGTTCGATTTGTTGATGCAAGTAGCATACCTAAGTACAAACAACCAGCATCTGCTGTATATAAATGTTTAAACCCACCAAAATGTAACTAAAATAATTTCTTCAATGAATCTGCATGTACATCTGAATATCAAAGACATCAGTTCAACTGGGTCTTTGCACGTTTGGTATAAATATTTTTCATCGTTTTGTTCATACTCCTTGACGATTGATGAGATGAAAATCATATTTTTTTCTTGTTACCGTTACAGAATCCAAGAAAAATAATCCTGAATACTTTCTGCAGTTTGCTAGTTTTTGCCGTATACAAAGTGGCATATATGATGTAGAAGAAGAATTTGCAGTAGAATCTGTTGATGTCGAAAACTAGGGCAGCTGACTGACATTAAGAAAGTTAGATAATTTTGATATGCCTACAAAACAAACATAGAGATGAGATGAATTTTTCTCTAATAGTCAATCTATGCCTTAGCTTGAGGCTCATCTATGCTATGTAATTCAAATCCATCTTATTATAACCTTCAATGTTACAAGTTTCTTATATGATGTAGAAGAAGAATTTGCAGTAGAATCTGTTAATGTCGAAAACTAGGGCAGCTGACTGACATTAAGAAGGTTAGATAATTTTGATATACCTACAAAACAAACATAGAGATGAGATGAATTTTTCTCTTATAGTCAATCTCATGTCTTAGCTTGAGGCCCATCTGTGCTTTGTAATTCAAATCCATCTTATTATAACCTTCAATGTTACAAGTTTCTTATATGATGTAGAAGAAGAATTTGCAGTAGAATCTGTTGATGTCGAAAACTAGGGCAGCTGACTGACATTAAGAAGGTTAGATAATTTTGATATACTTACAAAACAAACATAGAGATGAGATGAATTTTTCTCTTATAGTCAATCTCATGCCTTAGCTTGAGACCCATCGGTGCTTTGTAATTCAAATCCATCTTATTATAACCTTCAATGTTACAAGTTTCTTATATGATGTAGAAGAACAATTTGCAGTAGAATCTGTTGATGTCGAAAAATAGGGCAGCTAACTGACATTAAGAAGGTTAGATAATTTTGATATACCTACAAAACAAACATAGAGATGAGATGAATTTTTCTCTAATAATCAATCTCATGCCTTAGCTTGAGGCCTATCTGTGCTTTGTAAATTAAATCCATCTTATTATAACCTTCAATGTCACAAGTTTCTTATATGATGGATATAGCCGTTCCTGAAATCCTTAGACTGCAAATTAATAAGTTATGAATGCTCATCGTCATTTATGAAATAAGTTATGAGAACTACTACATGGTGAGTGTATTATGAAATGCTGTTAGTTGATATTTAATACTTGATTTAATGTCTAAATTTAAGAGTGTATTGGTAAGATCACAATAACCGAATTAAATTAAGTTTCGGTGAATTTATTATGTTTTACAGGAAAATTAATCTTATTTGAAATAATAGCAATAGATTAAAACTTGTTTTTATTATAAAAAAAAAAAAAAAAAAAAAGTTATGAAAAAGAGAAAGCATCTTGCAAATTAATAAGGTTATTTGTTATGTTATAATAGATTGAAACTATTAATTAGATGGGGGTTGGTGGATGGGAGGTTTTATTAGGTGCATTACTCTCTTCAACAAACTACAAAAACAGCGGCATCTGACTGGAAATGGATTCCTCGACGGTGTGCAACCAGTAGGTTTGATATATAATATATATATATATATATAAATATATTGTTTTAGTTTGAAATTTTTTGATCGGTAATTTATACATTTTTACAAAATATGTTTAATTATCTATCTATACATTTTTGTTGTTTATTAATAGGCTAATTGAGAGACGTAGTTATTATCTCGCAAAGCATGTGGATTAATATATTCACCAACATCAGCATACGACATTAACGGCCATATTCCTACCTAAACCCAACGACATTAATTTAATTAATTAACATTTAATAAATATTAATCTGCCATTCTTTCTCAATTGTACCTTATGCAGTTGATCCACCAAATGCCAGAGGGAATGAAAATTTTTTTAATTGATTTTCATCTCACTAAAATTTCAATAATAATAATAATAAATTCTAAGAAATAAAAGATAATTTAGAAAATTTATTATTATTATTATGTATTCTTAATTTTGTGTTTAAACTCTTCGCTAAACCCAAATTAGCCCAACACCCAGACCCACTGAGAAAGAAGGCCCCATTAAACACTCATAAAAAAACGGCACCGTTTTGGTGTTCCTCGTTTGCCTTCTTCCCAAGGGATGGGAGAGACGCGAGCCAGAGAGATGTCTGCTATTGGGGTTCGCTTTTGATTTTTACTACATGAGACTGAGGCAGATTATATTATTTTTTATTAATTAAGAACTTTTTTTTTTTTTGTTTTAATTTTCATTAAGTTAATTACTTATTTTTAATTAAAAAAAAAAAATCAGTTTTAATTCATTTAGAACCTCAGTCTTTATAAAATTTATTTTCTTGCGTTGGACTGGATTCGTTTTACTCCGGTACGGACCGACAACGGCGGAGGCTTTTTTCTCGGTGGAATTACCATTATACCCTCACTCTCTCTCGACGCCGTCACTTGACGCCGCCTAACTCCCGTCAACCACCAGTTTCCGTACAGAACTGCCCCCTCCTCTCCTTTTCCCACACACACCTACCCCCCATTTCACCTCACCTGCTCCTGTCTCTCTCCTCTCTGCCAAAAGCTTTGCTTGCTTCTCTCTCTCTGAACTTCGCCTTTCTAAAATCTAGAGAACTGAGCCGGATTGCGTTTTACAATTCGGCTCCACCGGTACTCGCATGAGAGAGTCGAGTTCGATTTGGGGACTATGATTCTTTGGTCATGCATTTGAAATGAGGATGTAACCTTTCTTTTTCTCTCTAGGGTTTTCAGTATTCCTCCCTCTTCTTCTTCAATGGCTTTGAGAGGTGTCGATTTCAAGTGGTTAGTTACACTATTTTATTGCAGTGGGTTTTACATAGGTTGATACAGTTTTATATCAGTATGCATTTTAATTTTATACATGCCCATCCGTGTGTTTTATGGATGTTAACTGTATAAAATTTGTATTGAGACTGATGGATTTCTAATGGAAAAATGGATTTTTGCAGGTATGATGGGTTCTTCTTATCGATGCTCGCAACAAGTGTGTATCCTTTTAGCTTGATAGCGTTGAATTGAATTGATATTTTTAAGCTGACACTTGTTGTGATTTTTCTTTTTAGCTAATCTGATATTGTTTTCAACTAAGTAGTCGTAATGTGCGGGTTTCTCTCTATTCTCACTGAAAGACTTTATGCTTTAGTTGTTATAAGCGCATATGACCATACATATTTTGATTTGAATCTCGATCCTTGTTTAATTCTCTTAGGTTGGTAAGAAAATGTTGGAGAGTATGACTTTTAACATGTTTATCTTTGCAGTTTCATAATTCAACCCCATCCGTCTTTCAGGGTAAATTATAAGGGGTCCTTTGAGGAATTATAATTATAATTGCGGTTGTTATTTTTAAAAGTAATAATTCTGTTCTGTCTCTTCAACAAATTTAAATGATTGTTAAATATATTCCATATTTCATGTGCTAATCATGTGGCTATAAAATACAAAAATAACAACATAGTAAGCAATGTATTTGAAAGAAACATGAAAAATATGCTCGAGTTTCAGTTCAGATGACAAAAAAGTAACAGTGACAGTAGAGAGTATGCACCAGCGCTTATAGTGAATAGGAATCTAAACCAATGGGTATTTTTTCTTTCAAATTATTGTAACAGTAATATGACAACTTTTGGACAATAATGGACTACTATAAGTGTGCTTGTCCCATGTAATTTATCTTTTCTTTTATTGAGGTCGCAGAGTGGAGCAATCAGTTCAGGAACTAAGTTTCTTTAACAACTTTGCTATTAGAATCATTGTTGCCATCAACTGGAAGCGCTATCATCTTTGTACATACCCATTGCACATATGGATTGTGGTAAGTTGAGCTCAAAAGCATTTAAGACTGGTTAATCATCTGTTCTTTTGGCTTGAATTTCAGGAAGTTCTGCTTATGAAATTCTTACCTGCATTGTTTCAGGTTGATTACACTACGGTGTTTGTTTTCCGCTTGCTGATGTTCATAGATAATGGACTTGCTGCAGGAATGGGCTTGTAAGTCTTAAACTTAACTTTTATATTGGTTATTGCATTAACCAGTTTTGAATGCTTTTGAGTTTATTCACTTGATAGATATTTAAGACTCATGGCAAGTGAATGCGAAAGCATTTATTCTAGCCAGAATCTTGGGGACTTGAAAGATATATTGATAGATCTGTAAAAATTTGTATACAGGTTGCACCTCCTTGGTGCTCTTGAATATTTTTCACGTTTTATTTAAAAGCAAGGTCTTAACTTTAACTTGTGAGGTAACAGTTGGTTTGATAGTAAGATTTATTGCTGTTTCACGACTGAAGTCTACTGGTTCATTCCAATTTGAACTTCAGATAAAGTACTTCAAAGGAAGAGCCTATAAAAAAAAGTTATGTCCATATTTTCTTCATCAATCTGGTAAAGGCATTTAGCTTTAGGTTAGAAATTAGCAAATCAATGTGATGTAGGAGAAAAAGAATTTGAGAAAATTTATTAGGAATCAAGACTAGAGATCTCGGACCTCAATAATCAAATCAACAACTCAATTTTTGAATAATAATCATATGAATAATCTACTAAATAATTATGTTAGAATACCATATTTTATAAGTATTAGAGTCTATCGAGGAATTCTCTAAGTAGGAAAGCAAGCTAATTAATCGGAAATAATAATGTTATGCCATTAATAAGCCTATAGACACTAGTTCTAAATAAACTAAGTACCTAAATGGGACATAAACATTACAATTGCATAAATATATTTTGTTATTGAAATATGCCCACTTTAGAATCTTCCTATTTTGTATCACAATGTTATTGCATTCTAGAGTTCTAGCGTTTTGCCGGATCTCCGTCAACTGGAGTGTTGTTGCATAACTTTATCTGCAATTAATGATTCTACTCTAGCTCAGCTGCAGGAAAATGCAACATGGTTACTTAATTTTATGCTGTCATTTGATTTGCAATTTACATGATCAACTGTTCCTATTATTTACTTTTTTTATCTGCGGTTCCAGAAAGCTTTCTTATTTGGCTGGGTAATGCCTGATTATATCTTTACTTGTATGTTTTCAGAGATTTTGGACCGCAGCAGAGATATGCTCGTTTTTGCGGGAGAATGGTTGTTCTTTCAATCCTATCTCTGCTTCTTTATCCATTTCTTTGGGCCTGGACTATAATTGGTACCTTGTGGTTTACAAGTGCAAGAGATTGTGTAAGTATTTTATATTTCATACTTTATGTGAAATATTTGTTTTGCAAATGTGGTCTTATTGCTGGAGGTAATGTTTAACGTTGACAGCTACCAGAAGAAGGTCAAAAGTGGGGTTTCCTTATTTGGTTGCTTTTCAGCTACTGTGGGCTTCTTTGCATTGCTTGCATGTCTATGGGCAAGGTTAGTATCTTTTGCTGTATGCCTTGTGTCATTTTTCATTGGATCCAATGATGACTAAGTAATTTGAATTTGGCATGTATAGTAGTGAACATGTTTCCACTGTTAGTGCTTATATAAAATAATCTAATTTGCCTACCACCCTATATGTTGCAATTTTTTTTTTCTTTTTTTATCATTGTTAGGTGATCCTGCTTATATTTTTTCTTTTGAACTTATCTTTGTCAGTGGTTGACACGAAGACAAGCACACATGCATCGTGCTCAGCAGGGAATTCCTATTTCAGAATATGGGGTAAGCTCTAGTATCTCTTTCTTCTTGAGTATTATTTTTTCTATTTCCAACACAAAAGCAACAAAATAAGCAATGCTGGCACGGGTCATTGCAATTAATCGTACTTTGTCAAGTTGGTTATAAATGATCCTTTACCTTAATTAAGGAAAGTTAAAAACTCTACAAGGTCTTTGATAGGATACTTTTGACACCAAACAAGCAGCACCATAAGCTTAGTGACTTACATCCTTAGAAATTTTTTTTTCAGAATTATCCACCGCTTATTTTTTATGGTTCCCATTACTACTGTTATTATCATCCAGGTTTTAGTTGACATGATCCGGGTACCAGATTGGGCATTTGAAGCAGCAGGCCAGGAGATGAGAGGCATGGGGCAAGATGCCGCTGCATTTCAACCTGGTCTCTATTTGACCCCAGCTCAGGCAAGGACATACGTAAATAGACATAAAGATATCACGACTTCTTGGTGTTTGAGAGTAATTTTGCTCATAAAAAATGACTTAGAAAAAGTGATGCTGGAAATTTAATAAACTTTAGATGTAGCCTGGCATTTTAAGTAATAATTTTAGACATTTAAGAAAATACAAGATGTTAGAAAAAGTTTTAAGCTTGGACTCCCTCCCATTCCTGTTGTTTATCAGATACATGCATGAGCAAGCGCACACATGAATGTACGCACAATTAGCTTTGTGCATGTGCTGGTATCTGGTTTCTTATAACAATGTATCAGATATCACCACATATAGGGTCGTGTTAGTTATAAGTCTTCCATGCCATTTTTAGTCTCTCAAACGAGTGTTTCCTTTGAACAGTTTTATGTCTATACAAGGGGTGGGAACAGGCAAGTTGAAGTAGAGTTCATTTTATATTCCTGCACTGCTAAAAATTAGGGCTAGGAAGAATTAAAGTGTGGTGTGGAGGCAGGGTGGGGATGGATATATCTGTTTAATATTGTTTGACCTTTTATAGGTTGAAAAACTATTTAAAGATTATATTATCCTATGTGATTATAAACAGCATTTCATTATATTCTGAATATTATTGGAGAATTTTGAGAAAAAAATAATACTGAAGTCGTAAATGGTATGTATCCAAATACATTTAAGTTTATATGTACATGTATCCCAGTCAAATTTAATAATTTAAGACTTTTTCTATATTTGGATTATAGTTTGGGCTGGGGGGGACCAGTGAGTCCTGTCCTAATCCAACTCAGACATGTCAGCATTGGCAGGGGATCATGGGGTGGATAAAATTCACCCTTTACAGGTGAAATTGTTATCCTTGTTAATCTTTATGCTGATCTGTGGGTCTTGTTTTGGTTGCAGAGAGAAGCAGTGGAGGCTCTGATTCAGGAACTTCCTAAGTTCGTGCTGAAGGCTGTTCCAACCGAGTGTAATGAATGCCCCATATGCTTAGAAGAGTTTCATGTTGGAAATGAGGTTGGTTTTTCTATGCAAAGTTGCAAACTATTACCATTTTTTTACTTTTTTCTCATTTGGCCTTGTAACATTTGTCATGTTATAAAAAATTTGCCTTCCTGAAACAGAAACTTCTTTATGTTTTAACTGACTGAACTACATTCCAACTATCTAGTTGGATTGTCCTCTAATGCTTGTTTGCTCTAAAGAGAGCCCTTTACTCCGAATACACTTGGAGTTTCAAATTGAGCTTTTGCAATTTGATGAAGTGGTCAGATTGAGAATAACAAATCTGGAAAGTTTTTTCTATAAGGATTTCTGCCCTTGACTTAACATGCCCAAGCACTAATAGATTGACATACCTTATGGTAATGGAACATAATCACAATTTGCATTCTAATATGTGAATGTAGGTTCGAGGCTTGCCTTGTGCTCACAATTTCCATGTACCCTGCATTGATCGATGGCTTCGGCTAAATGTGAAATGTCCTCGGTGTCGTTGCTCAGTCTTCCCGAACCTGGACCTTAGTGCCTTGTCAAACCTCCGGAGTGCTGATTCTGAAAGATCGTCTGCTAGTGCCGGTGTTGCGACGGCAACCCGATATGTGAGAAGCCAACCTTCCAGCCAGAGTTATCTGTTGAGATTGCAGGGCTTTCTTCGCCCAGTTCGTACGGAAAATACTGGGGCACCCAGTGATTCAGATATTGCTTTGGAAACTGCTGAAAATGGAGGTAGTGTTGCTGCTGTAACTCATGATCCTGGTGGTTCGGAGTCATTTCCTTCTGTTGGTCAATCCATATCCATCTCTCAACAACGCTGAAATAGTGCAGAGCTGTTTCTTGGAGTCTTGCTGACAAAATTACAAAACTTTCTGACACAGCTGAGAGAAGCTAATATGAAATTGTAAATGATTTTGCATAATGCTTTTGTCAGTGTCTTCACTGTAACTGAAAGATTAATCAAACCCAAAAATCCCCATAGCTGGTGGTGTTCTGAGAACAAATACGGTAACAATACCTTGTGTATTTGGGAACAAGTAGAATTACGCAACTTTCTCTCTCTGTTACTCTGTTTGAAATATTGAATACATCAAAAATAGGAGAATGATGTCGAATGCCCATTTCCATGGAGTTGTAGATTCAATGCTGAAAATTATTACCCAGTACTGGCTTTTTGTTGGATTTTTAAGCTGTTTTTTCTCTTCATACCCTTTATTTATATTTGAATTTTTATCCTAAAGCAAGACATTTTCAATGTAATGGAACTCTACATACAGAAAAGTAGTTTTTGGAAACTTGAGTGGTGTCAGAATGCTCAAATAACTCGGTACATGAAGAAAATATAGTGCAAGAATTTCTGGTTCACTTATTTTAGGTAAAATGAGAATTTGGTACTTGCTTTGCAATTTTATACTCCACTTGCATGTTTAGAGTGATTTGGTTCATTCATTCACCAACTTAAAGTGGCTGGATGAAGATAGCCAATCATATTATTTTGCACAATCTGTGCAACTTAAAATTTAACAACGACAACGATTTAACACTGTAAAATTCTTCTCTCAAAATAATCAAATTTTCTGTAATTTTATATGCACACTGCAAATAAAACTGTTAAAAAAACAAAAAATCAAGAGTGGGTCCCATGTAATGTAAGCAAATGGCGGATCCGGATAATCCATTCCTCATTTTTAAGCCCGACAGTGGTGATTCTATCCACTCTGTATCAAAAACTCTTCTTCTCAAAATGCCTCTCTCTCTTCTCTTTATCAGAACTTGACAGACATGGCGGTGCCAAATGCTTCATGGGGCATTGGCCAAGCAGTATCAGCGCCCCACTTCTTTAGGCCCCTTTGTTCTATTACTACCTCTACCAACAAGTCTACCAATTTCGGTTTCTTCTTCGGTTCCCCGTCTTCTTCTTCTTCGATTATTAGGAACCGGAAGAGCTCAACTTTGTGCTGCCATGGAAACCAGAACAACAATGACAGCAACATCAGCTCTTGTGTTGACTGGGATTGGAATAGATGGACCCGCTATTTCTCCGAGGTTGAACAAGCTGAGAGCTTCGCTTCTGTTCTCAAGGTACTTCCTGTTTCTTTATGAAGTTTGTAAACTTGTAATTTCCATTTAACTTGGTTATTTATATATTCTTAATTTCCATATAATTGGTTATAGTTGCCTAAATTTAGGTTAGCGTTTCAGTTTCCTTTCTATTTTGGGATTTCCTTCGGCGACGGAGGGTGCCACTTGCAGGCATTACTTAATTAGATGATAGACTTTTGGTCTATTAGGGATTTTCCTGGCGAAAATTGGCATAAATAAATTTAAAGGGTTGATTGGCATAGCTAATTGGTTTTACCAAAAGTAAGTTTCTAAGCTCTCTGAGAACTTAAAAAATATGGTGTTATGTCTTGCAATAACATTTTCTACAAGCTGGAGGGATTGTCTTTTAGAAGGTTTTTAAGTTTAGCAGAATAAGCTGGTGTTTTTTTACCAATTAGTACTATCCTTAAATTTGAATATTTCAAGTTTTAAGAAACATATTTTTTTTTTTCAATTATTATTGTTTTTAATCAAACAGGTTAGCAGCTAAAAAGCTTATAAACTCCTTTGATTCAACTAAACCCAAACAACCCCTTAATTTCATAACATATCTCAATAATAATCGAGGAACTTTAGTATATTTTGTTGTTTTGTTGTTTCTTTGTCCTAGTATGTGGCTTGAATGAGTTCATGACGCATTGAAAATATGCAAGTTTAAGCTTATGCTTCATTTAGTTACAAACTTGGAGCAATTGTGGAAATGAGAATGGAGATTGTAGTTTATTGGAAAAGTAAAAGCCTTTTCACTTGCATTGAAGAAAATCACTTTTTATATTATTCAAGTGGTAGAGGTTTTCAGAGTGCATGAATTTGCTACTTACCTTAACTAATTTCTATCTTTCATGCAGCATGACTTCATTACTAGCAGTGAGAATTTGAAACATATACCTGATCTGGAAACCATTTTCCGTACATTTTGAGGAATTTTTCATCATCTTTATCACTTGTGCGTTCTCATTCTGGGGGTGAAAGTAATTATAGAAGGAATTGAAATCACCATAAAGAGAATATCCGTCCTCAAGTTTGTACAAACACAATTTTCCATGCCCTTTGTTCTAATTGCTTCTATTATTTGCAGTTTCAACTTGAAGATGCAATTGAGAAAGAAGACTTCCAAGAAGCAGCAAAACTGAAAATGGCTATTTCAGAAGCTTCCTCAAAGGACAGTGTAGCAGAAATCATGTCTCAGTTGAAGGTTAGTTTGTAGATGAGCTCCTTGGAAGTTGAACCTTAGATGCTTTAAATTCTGGTTACTAATATATTCTCTTCTTCTGCAGATTGCAATAGATGAAGAGCGGTACCATGATGCTTCAAGATTGTGTAAAGATACAGGAAGTGGATTGGTAATCTTCCTATCTTCATCTACAGGGCTCATTTGGGTTTCAGTAACCTGGCTTGGCTTGAGAGGAAAATTTGATGTTAGCCTCAAAACTGTATTTGGAGCATGGATCTAGAAATTTTTTAATAGGGTGAAATAACTAGTAAAGAAGATTTAGACACAGTGAAATAAGGTTTCAAGGATAGAAAATAAAGAAGAAAAAAAAAATCCAATCCACAATTACACAGATTGGTAGCAACCACAACCACATGAATGTCAACCACGGGAGAATCAATTATGTGGAGGAGTTAGTTGTTGATGACCGCTTGGTGAAGGAGAACGAGCAGTTGAGAGGAGTCAAAGATTTCTTCAGCAGGTTATACTATGAGGATTTCACTTGGAGGCCTAAGTTGAGTGACCTGGATTTTATGTCCCTAGATTATCAAAGTTGTGAATCTCTTGAGAGAAAGTTTTCCAAGGAGAAAATTTTAGAGGGCCTCATGCAATATAGATAGTGGGGTTTGGAATGTGGATGTGTTGCAGAACCTCAATGATAGGGCAGTTGGGAATTTACTTCAGCTTCTCTCTAGTGTTCAGGTGAATTCGGATGGCGACAAATTTTTGTGGAAACCCAAGAAAGATGGACAATTCACTGTAAAATCTTTTTATGAAATGCTGATGGGTAGTAATGAACCTGGGTTGGAGGATCTCCCCTTTAAATAGATATGGGAAGTACAAGCTCCGACAGGAATTGTTTTTTTCGATTGGGAGGTAAGGAGGGATTGCATTCTGACTATTGACAACATGATGAGGAGGGACAGAGTGATGGTTAATGCGTGTTACTTATGTAAACAAGCGACTGAGACTTGCAATCATCTCCTTTTATGGGTGTCTTATAGCATAGAAGTTATGGTTTATGGTCTATAGTCTCCTGGGTATTAGTTGGGTTGGGGTGGGTTTAGTAAAGAAGGAGATCTGGGTTGGGGGGGTGGGGCAGGGGGGTGGTTGTAAAAAGAAAAAATCTATAAAACTTATTCCTTTCACAATATTTTAGGTGGTGTAAAAAGAGAGAAATAGGAGAGATTTTTTGGTGCCATAGCATTTATATATTGACTATACTTTTTATCTTAAAAAAAAGCTCCTGGACCTGGTGGTTTTAAAATGGACTTCCTTAAGGAATTTTAGCATGTGATTAAAGATGACGTTATTGAGTTTTTTAATGAGTTTCATGAGTCTATTTTGTACATTAGATGTTTAAACTCTACTTCTCTGGTTCTTCTTTCTAAGGGAATGACAAACATCAAGGATTTCAAACCTATCAATTTAGTAGGAAGTGTGTATGAGCTCATTGCCAAAGTCTTGGCAAGGTGAATTGCTAAGGTGATGAGAAGGTGGTGGGTGAGAGTCAACATGCTTTTGTGGCGGCCAGACAGATTTTGGACGCAGCCCTTTTTGCAAATGAAATTGTGGATGAACTAGTTCAGAAGATATGGGGGGTGTCCTATGCAAACTATATATGTAGAAAGCCTATGATCATGTGAATTTGGCATTCTTGATTATGTGTTGAAGCGATTGAGTTTTGGGAAAAAATGACACAAATAGATCAATTCTTGAATTTCTATGACTTTTTTTGCTGTTATGGTTAATAGGTGTCCATAATATTTCTTTAGAGCATGCAAAAGTCTTAGGTAAGGGTATTTTTTATCTTTTTACTATTTATCATTATAATGAAAGCTCTCAATAAAATACTTTTGAGAGCTATATAGCTTGAGATGTCTTAGGGATTAAAGGTGGGCGATGCTGAGCATACAGAGGAGGTAAATCATTTATCTTTTGCTGATGATACTTCGCTGTTAAGCGAACCAAATGAGAGGCTCTTCTTCATTTCAGATGCATTTTGCTGAGTTTCCAGGTACTTTATGGCCTCAATATTATCCTAAGCACGTCTGAGTTGGTGAGATTGGGTGATGGCAAGGATTTAATAGGTTGACTAGGATTCTGGGATGCAGAGTGTCAATCTAC